TCTCACAAAGTTCTCAAAAGAATAAATTAAAATAGAATACATGTCAATCCAACAACAACGAAAATATTGCTACTGGGTGATAATACTAACCATGTGTATCTGACAAGCACATGTTTTGGCCAACGTTGAGGATCCCAGAACTGTTTACGGATATCTGGATGAATTTCAATGTCTGTTCGAGTGAAAGAAAAGTAGAGGCTGAGGTCCAACAATTGAATTAAAAAAAAAACCACCAGATCAGCTCTTATAAAGCAGTCTTCACACTTTTAAGAAATGAACAGTGAATATTTTTATTTGAAATTCACAGATAAGAAAGGAACTTGGTTTCTTGTCAGACAAAACAACATTTTTAATACCCATTCAAGTCCAATAATAAGATCTACAAATTCACAGGAATTCATTCTAGCTTGTGCCCAAACTCACTCTCACTTAAAAGGGAGTGCATAATGGAAAAGATTTTTTAGCAATCACAACTACATACTTCTTTGAAAGTATCTGGGAAGCATCCCTTTTTCTTTTTCTTAAAAAAAGGGGAGGCAAGCAACTGATAATCATCTTAACATAAAAATCAATGGAGATTTGAGATCAACACAACCATGCATACTACTAAATCTAAAAGGGAAAGATGGATACTACTGCTTTATACATGAACACTGATCGCTTGTCTATATTAATGAGCAAGCTAATACACAAAAGGTAAGAATGATATTATGTACAATGGTGAGGCATATCAAAAACTTTGGCAATGATACTCAGCAAATCATCACCTCCTGAGTACCTCTGAATGACAAAGAATTTGACAAAGAAGCTAATATAATTACAAATCTATTTATGATGTTTCTCTAAGCAGCTTTACTAAAAACCAGAAAAATGAAGGAAAACATTAAGTTTCAAACATGTCTTAACAAATGGCCATCAATCGTTGGAACCTCAGAAATTTTAGGGTTTATTAGAAAAGGTCACAGAATCAGAAACTTCTCTATTCCAACTTGAAATGATCTGCATATAATTAAATCTTTTAGCATATAACATATAAATAGCAAAGCTGTTACAAATTAACCCCGAATTGGAATCCAACATAATGCAGAAGCTAGATAGTTGATTCCTATACACTGACAATAGACAAGCCAAACGGCATAATTGATTCGGCAATGTTATGGTAAACGAAAACAGCCACATGCTACCAATATAAAGCAACTTCCATCCTTACATTTGTAAATATAACTTCTTTCAATTTCTTGCTTGAATTCAACCATATCAACTGTCTTTAATTAGTTTGAAACTATAGAGCATATAATGTACATAATGAACTTACATTTTGTAAGGATCGGCGCCGGTATAACCAGTGGGCTTTGCCATCGGAATCAAACCTGAGATAAATTAAGAACGCCAAATGAGAATCAACAAACTACAAGAGAAAAGGCAGATAAATTGACAACGAAGTGGGTAGTGGGTACCTCACGATTAACGGCGAAGATGGGGCAATATTTTCCGATCATGTCATGTCATGCCACACGGTTGTGGACTGAAACCATGAAATCAAGAGACTTAATATCACAGAGAAGAAAAAGAGAAAACGGAGGAACATTGGAAGACGTGGGTGTAATGAAAGGAGAGATGGGAATACGGACGGAGTAGTATTGAACCATCTTGCTCATCGGGACGACGTCGCCGGGCCTGTAAACGGAAGTTATGGAAGAAAACGAAGTGACAGTAAAATTAACAGCAGCGCTGTCATTCGTCATCAACCTCTTGGCGGTGGTTGGGAATTGGCCAATGACCATCTGATTTTTTTTTTAAGCAAAAGTAAAAATGTGGGGATAGGGGAAATATGAAATAAAGAAAAATAAAGAAAAAAAAAT